GATTTTCCGTCAGAAACAAAAACTATCACTTGTGGATCGCGGCGTAAATGGATGTACAAAGGTGAAGTCGTTTTCAATGTTGGATGCTACACAGGCACACGGGTGAGTTTTTCCGTATAGTTAAAGGTATTGCGAAAAAAAAGTTATTAGTAAATCCACGAGAGGCAGCAGGGACAAGAAGCTTTTAGGCAGATTGGATCCAAAAGTCCGAAGAAGAGGAAAGAATTCGAAATTGGATGGGCGAGCATCACGGAGCTAAAGAGGATCAAAAGGATTGGACATGGGGCAGCACCCAGTATGAACAACAAAAGAAAATGCAGCGAATGGCTTCCGAAATCCAAAATCTTTTGGTTAACACCGATAATATGTAAGTTTTAGCTCACGATCAATGCGAAAAGGGTTCTTTTCCGTTATACATCCGCGAAAATCAACCCTCGATCATTTCCCTCGATCACGTTATGAAGCTATTGCTCAATCAGAATCTCCAATGCAGATGCGACAAAACGTCCTGCTGGACAGCGATCGACCTGAGTGTTGGCTCATGGATCCAGAGCACCAAAATTCCGTCTCTCACAATCCTACGATTATGGATGGACTCAACAGTGAACCTCGATCAACTATTGTGCGAAAGAATTGGAGATGAATCAGCGCGGTCGACTTCAACAACTAGGATTCTTTGCGTGGAATATCTGGTGAACAAGCTGAGAGGAAAAATTAGAGAACCCAATCGAATCGACGAAGTGGACGAGGCTCTCTTCTCGAAGCGAAAGGCGAACGTGGGCCGAATCTGGCCGCAAGTGTGGATATTTAGAGGAGTTTGCCGGGAAACCAAGGAATGTTTTCTTTTCGAGGTGACCAACCATATTGGAAGCGATGATTGAACACATCGAGCCGGGAACCTAAATTGACTCCCATTGTTGGCGAGGATGCAATACTGAACAGACGGAGGAGGCCGGCTTTACCCATGCTCGTGTCAATAAGTACAACAAGTATGGAGAAACAAGAAGCATCGCGGCACGTCATTTCCTACCGAACTACCTCGCTGAATCCATGGTTCGACGAGAAGTGGGAAAGGACGATTTCTACGAATGGGTGTTGCAACAAATTGCTACGGCATGGATTGATCCTCATTCATTCCTCATTGATTAATAATCAGGGTTTATTTTTGTGAATGTATAACGGAAAGGAACCGCGAAAAGTTTCTGAATAAAACTTTGACTTGCAATGTTTTCTGTAATTTTCAGAATCAGGAAGCAAGTCGCCGTTGTACCGGCAGACTATGTGAATGCTTTTTGGGAAGGAGACGCTTTCTCAGAGGACAACTACTACATGAGAACGGGTTTCTTTGGCTTTGAAGGCGATAAATCTGTGTTGGAATTTGAGAATTATGTGATATTTGTGTTTCGTGGTGGCTTTCCAGAGAGATCAAAGCCTGATGCAAGAGAAGAAATCAGGTCAGACGAGGATTTATTTGGCTGGCTAATAAGTAATGGTGGAATTGCTGGGAGCTGGTCTCAAACTTGACCAATCTTTTGGTCTTATTCGAAAGCTGTATTCAAGAAGAACACAGTAGCGAAGAACATTTGTTGATTCGTTCTGTTTTCAAATATTTATACTTCAAATCAAAGTACGCTAGGGTCAGGATCGGCCCTCACATGACGGCTTTTTTCAGCCCTGTTTACAAGGGTTAGGAAAACTTCTTTACATTCCTTTGCTTTAAAACTTAAGCTGGCGATCACTGGTCAGAGTCAGAATTGAGATAATACTTTATTTTAGTCGTTACTTTCAAGACACTTCGAAATGGCGAGAACGACATGACGGGATCCAATCGCTAGCAGAGCATTTATGGACTTATGGTGGTTACTGGAAAGGACGCGGCGACATTGTGACTGTTTTTCGAAAGGGAGCAAATCACAAAACGTGCACTTATCTCTATGGAGCATCTGGTGATTGGATGATTACTGAGGTGAAGACGTGGAGTCGGCCATGTCTACTTGGATGTGGAGATGTTTGTGTTGTGCATTTAATGGCTTGATATCTTTTGAATAAAGGCATACATGAAAAAGATTCCAAGTAACGCAAGAAAGCAGAAAAAAAGAAATGCGGCCTTAAAACAAAGTCCCTTAATTTTTTAAGTGATTTTTCATGGAGTTGACATTTTAAAATTGAACAATAGTTGATTACATTCACATCTTTAAAATAGTTTTCTCCATTTGATTTCATTAATTCCATTTAGATTCCTTTAAAACTTAAAAGGTAAAAACTGAGGAAAAAAATAACATTTACGAATCAATTAAACCTTGATTTTGGCTAATATTGAACCATCTTCAGGGTAACATTAAACCATCGATCAGCCGCTTCCTTTGGTTTCTCCGTTGAAAAACGAACAGCTTCGAGTTTGAATGAAAATGAGTAGGCCTTTCGCTTGACTTTTGCTCCTAGAGCTTTTTGAATTCGGCATTACCCAAGAAAGAAAAATTAGTAACGCAATAAAATCTGAAGAAAATCAGAAAAAAACTACACTTTCGGGTTGACTTTTCGTATTTCGGATACAATAATTTTAGCGAAAAATAGAAAAGAAGTGATACTTCGAATAAAAGATCGGTGTTATATTCAACCTGGTCTTCTCTTTTTTCGATCACCCTCTAGATCTCGTCTTCTATTCAAAGAAATACGGTAGACTAAAGTAAACAATAAACAAAACAAACCAAATTCTCGGACGATAATTCCGGTTGATCACGCCATTTTCGGACCAATTTTCGTTTTCATCACCAACTCGGCTCATCGGGGTGCACTACTATTAGAGAAAATACGGTAATTAAAAGCTTACCTTATTTCCTGTTTATCATCGTAGTCTTTACTAAACATTGAGGCAAATGGAGTGCTTCTGATTCCATAGTGATATCTTCTATTTTTCATGAGTTAATGTAAATCTTCATTTCGGCACTTTATTTCTGAATAAAGTATTCATATATAAAAACAAAAATATGACTACTCAGATACTTCACTGGTACTACAGTTTATCGCAAAAGAGCTGAAATTTGTCTTCTCTTTCTTCCATTAACTTCTTTTGAGCGATTTATTAAATGGGAAAAAGAAAAATGTATGCTTCTATCAAAAAATTGTTTTTGAATTGAATCATTTTCCAGACACCACATAGACCTTTAAATTCCAAATTTCAACTTTCAACTTTCAGATTGACTACTTTATTTTCTCCATAGATTTTTTGATGACTATTTGATCAACATAGACCTTTAAATCAGAAAATAGAAATTTGATGAGAAAATGAAGTCGTCAAATCAAATTCCAAAGTCTTAGTATTTATTTCAACAACTTTTCGTTTTTATACTAAACTTTCTCTTTTTGCAATTCACATTTCATAAAATTTGCTTTTTAGTTGGCTGTAAATGAAGAAAAAATTCGTTTTCTGGTTTGTGGCTTCACTGGCACAAGTTGTGACAGCAGATAAAGGTCCGTTTGTTTCGATCGATTACTTTGTTCTTTTTTTGTTACCCAACTCGTCTACTGGCTCTTTTTTTAGAATGGATTAACCAATGCTACAGCCAGGGTGAAAAAAAATCGTCATTCATTCGCCTGGTGGCAATTGGATAAACTTTTCGAGCGATGTGACGTCTCAGTAAGAGTTGTTTCGTGAAAGATTTTCCGGACCCGGCACGGTCAAAGCCTTAATGAGCTTGGACTCGATCAAGGCTTGCCCGCAGCTATGGTCCGGCCCTTGGCTCAAGGCTTTTTGGTCGCTAGAGACAACCCTTCTCATTTTATCTTCATCACTCAATTACAGTCAACGGTATGAGGTCTATCGAAAGTTCACGTGCACTGCTGATCCAGGCCATTTCGCGTTTGTTTAAGTAGGAGTTTCTTTTTCAGTTTATCCTCAAAAGTGTGTTTCCGATAAACGACCAGATGGATTCACCGTCAGACACAAAAACTATCGGTTGTGGACAGAAGCGTAAATGGTTGCACAAAGGTGAAGTCGTTGTCACTGTTGGATGCTACACGGGCCCACGGGCAAGTTGCTTTGCAAATGGGTTTAGTTAAAGGTATTAAAGGTAGCCAAGCATTTGAAAATTTTCTCGAGACAGCAAGCTTTAGGCAAATTGGATCCAAAAGCCCGAAGAAGAGGAAATCTGAGTAGGGAAACAGCTTGCCTACTAGTTTTACCCCTCCTCATAACCTGTAACTACTTGCTGACAGCACTTTGAAGAAACATTGAAAATGTATGATTTTTTGGAGGTAGAAAGTCGGGTAGTCAAAAAAGGCGACGGCTCGATGATACGGCCTAGTCAGTTTAGCTAGAAACCTATCTTGGTGTCAATAGATAAAAGAAGAACACAAAAAGTTAGGTATTTAGCCAAATTTTCAGAGAAATCGAGTTGTTCTTCTTGGCCGTCCTTTCTTCTTTCTTCGGTGCATAAGTCCAGTTGTTTTTTTGCTGTTTAAACAATGCGAGAAACGGTCGAAGGATCGCATTTGAAGAGATCGGAGACAACGGCTCGAGAAATTCCTTTTTTTCTTGCTTTCATGATTTTTTTTCTCTTTCGGGAGTCGTCAAGTAGGTACCTGGCATCTGAAAAAACAAAAATTAGTGTAAATTAATAAATTTGAAAACAATAAAAATGAGAAACATAGAATGTTGCAAGACTTTTGCACCCAGTTTTTAGGGTATTTGTTAGTAGTTTTGTCATTTACTTTTTTGTTTTACGCTGAACTTCAAATTTGTTTTTGTAAATAAAGTGTACATGTATTATTCTAATTAAAAACAAAAAAGCCCTACGAAGGGGTGGCATTTTCTATAAAAAAATTTCATCGATTTTTTTGAAAAAGTTATGTTGCAAGACTTTTGCTCGGTACTGTATTTCTTCAGGTGACGTTCTTTTGGAAAAGTTCTTTCTGAAAAACACAAAATTAAGTACCAAGAACAATAAAAACAAGTTTTAGTTTTCAAGTTTTAAGTTTCAAGTTTTAGTTTTCTCTAACTAATGCGTGTCGAATTTAAGGTTTGTTTTTGCTTTCTTTCTTTTGTTTTTCTCAAAACTTGCAGCTTTTTTCAGAAAGTCGTCAGCGCCTACTCGTTGAGGGCTTTCTTCATCACGAAATTCGCCTCTTTTCAGCGAATTCGCTCCGAAAGACTGTGAGGGTTTATGAATTTAAAAGTTTATCGTATAGAATGAAGTTAGTTACGACTAAATTTAGTTACGAACTAAAGTTTATGAAGCTTACAAAATGTTTTTTGTTTAGCAAGCTCGCCGTTCGCCTCCCGAAATCGATCGCTCCAGTCCGGCCCCGGTTTCGTCTCGTTTCAAAGGTTTTTACTACTACTTTTCAAGTGCTTTTGGATTTATAGCTGCCTTGCCTAATTGCCACTTTAATAGTTAACGATAAAATTCATTAAAACATTGATCTTGATCATTTTCAGGCATCCGACATCTCGCTGAAAGAAATCCTCTCACGAGATGCTGCCGGTGAAATACTCGAGCGATTCTGCAAAGGTTATTTGTTTTATTTTTCAAACTTTGCCTTTTGTTTTAGATCAAAACTTTCTCAAACAAACAGACGATGAAGGGAACACGATGTTACACCTGGTTATCAAGGTGGTCTTATTAATAATGAGTATATAGGTAGTTAGTTGTAAGGTAGTTTAAAGCGCACTTTTAGAGCTGTGCTTTAACAGATTGCCTAACATGTTCAATATAAATTGTACTTTTTTAGTTGAACGCTCGTCGATGTGCCCGTCTCATTTGCACATTGAATGCTTGTGATGAACCGTGGCTAAGTCGAAATTCTCACGGAGAGACGCCCATTCAAATGAATGAACAATCCGAGTAAGCAATGAATATCTTTCTTAAATTTTTATCTTTTAGAATCGCCGACGATTTGCGCATTTTGACTTCCAACTCTCCCATCGAGCGCGAGTCGAAATTTTGGATGAGGTGAGTTGGCTGCTCAATGGTTGTCTCTTGTGCTAGCTTTTAGATAGTACCAGCTTACTATTAGTTTTTTATCTATTTTTTCTTGTTAAATTTCATTTTTAGTGATCTAAACGAAGAGCTCATTGAGGAACGTTTGAGGGATTCTAATTCGACAAAGGAAATTCTCGTCGCACTCGATGGAGGCGGGATCAAAGGAGCCGCCGAGATTATGGTTGGAGGTTTTAATGAAGATTTTTTTAGCAAGCCTCCTTTAATATGATCCAAAATCTATAAAAATTGGCGTAATTAGTTGGCCTATAAATGGTAGATTAGGGTGTCCAGAAAGTCTTTTTGTTCCTTTTTGTACTTCCGTTTAAAACCAACAAATGCACCAATTGAACTTTTTCATTAGAAAGACCAATTATTTTTCTGCAAGATAACATTAAAACAGGTTTTGTCAATGTCTGGATTTTTTTTGGAAGCGTGCAAAAAACAATTCTTGGTTGCCCGTTTGTCTTTTGGTTGAAAGCCTTCAGAGAAATTCTTTCAGCCAATTTCTTCGTAGAGGTTTTTATCGATTTTTACGAAAACACGTTTTCATTCTCGAATTTGTCTAAACACTTTTTATTTAGAGGAAACCATAGGTTAATTGGTGAATTTGTTATTTTTCAACGGAAATACGAAGAGAAACTAAAAGACTTTCTGGACAGCCTAATATTATTCGCTTTAGGCTCTTCGAGAATTGTCTCTCCGCCTTTCATCAACTTCTCCATCAATCACTTCACTCTTCAAATCATTTGATTGGATTGGCGGAACGAGTGTTGGTGCGGTCATTGCTGCTTTCTCAGCTCCACGCCATCATGAAAATGGTTGGCTTTTTTGACAAGCTAGACCATACATACAGTGGTCAAAAAAGTCTTGATACCTTTCAAAAATCAGCAAATTGAGTATCCAAAAGTATTGGATTCAGCTCGTTTTTGTTTCATTAGATAAAACAAAGTTAGAAACTTATAATTCACATAAAATATGCACTTTGCAAAAACTATTCATGTACAAAAAATAAAAAATAAAAGAAACAAAGCAAAAAAAGTCTTGATACCTTTTCTCTTTTTCTCCTGTTTTTTTTTACGTTAGAGCTTTGCTAATTTTTGATATTGTTTCTTTTTAGAGATGCCGTGCAAGCAATACATCGACAGTCCCACAAAGGAGCGAATCGTTGAAGCTCGAAAAGTTGGACTCAAAGTCAGTGTGATTCAAAACCTCTTCTCCGTTTCGAAGATGACAATATGGAGGCTCTGCAATCGGATGAAAGAACGTGGAAATGCACCGATTAAAGAAAAAAGCCCGACAACCAAAAACAGCGTCTCGACAAGGCCGGGCACTTCGGCATTTCTTCGCCTCGGCTCCGGATTTTACAGTCACAGACGGGAAAAGTTACTTAAAAAGGGAATTTGGGATTGATGTAACTTCGCAAACGATTCGAAATCGACTGAAATTTCCGGTTGTTTTCACGACGATCTGCTCGTAAACCTTTGATGGTTCTTAGACACTGGAGGCTCCGTTTGAAATTCGCCCGCACCTACCAACATTGGTCGATCGATGACTGGAAACGTGTCTTGTGGAATGATGAAACTAAGTTCAATTTGTTCAACAGTAATGGCAACTACACCATCAAGACACCCACTTCAACACGATACAACTTGAAATACATTCGACAGACTGTCAAATTCAATAGAGAAGGGATACTGTGTTGGGGCTGTTTTTCTTCAAGCTTAGTTGGACCTCTAATCCTCATAGATGTATTCATGGACAGTGTGAAATATCGGGATATGATGCAAAATGATATGCTTCCTTACGCAAATGTAGCAATGAGTCCAAACTGGCTATACCAGCAGGGTGGGGATCTACACATACAAGTGAATTGATGTTGGAACAAAAACTGAAGATCCGACCTCGAGTTTTTGTGAGATTGCTCGTTTCGGCTCAACAATGTCAATTTGCTGCGAACACCACCCTATTCGCCGGATTGTAACCCTATTAAACATTAATGGGTACATGTAAAAGGAAAATTGCGAGGATTCCGCTTTGCGTCAAAAAAATGAGCTTTGGGACAAGGTTCAGTCTATTTGGAGCTCAATTTCACAACAAACCACGGAAAAATTGATCGCAAGTATGCCAAACCGACTTCAGGAGATTATAAAAGCTAAAGGAGGCCCAACTCGATACTGAATTTTGTTAGAAATAAATAACTTTTGAAAAGGTATCAAGACTTTTTTTGCATTTTTTTTTATTTTTTGTAAATAAATAGTTTTTGTAAAGAGTATACTTTCTGTTAATTATAAGTTTCTAACTTACAATTAACAATGTTACTGTTTTATCTAATGAAACAAAAACGAGCTGAATCCAATATTTTTGGATACCCAATTTGCTAATTTTTTGAAAGGTATCAAGAGTTTTTGACCACTGTATATCTAGGTCATAGGTGTAAAAGTTGACTATGGTTTTAAAATTTTATCTTTTTAGGGTCTCAGTCGCCGGATACAAACCTTGGGTCATTTCTCGCCGAAACCCGCGCCACCTTTCATCCGAAACTCAAGAAACCTTCTTTTCGGGGAGAGGTCTTTATTTTCTTAGAATTGATCTTAAAGATTAACTATACTCTAAAGTATAATTTGTTAACTTAAACATTCCCGATTCTTTCAAAGCTTTTCTTTAGCTTCTCCACAAATCTCTTCGCGAACATGTTGGAACGTCCCGGCTTGGCGATATCGAAGCAAAGTAAGAATCAAAAGAATATCGACAAGACGTTTAGTTTTAATTCGGTAATTCATGTTTTGTTCCAGATTTGTCTGCACATCTGTTGATGGAGCCATGATACCACCGAGACTGCTCGTTTTTCGGTCTTACTTTTCAATGTTTTGCCTAAACTTTTATTTCCAGGAATTTCCCCATCGAAGTTCGGACAGACGAGGATCATCGGGAGGTGGAAATCGTCGACGCACTTATGGCATCAACGTTTGTTTGGTCGTTGTTGAACTTTATCATTTTTCCTTTATCGTTTTAGAGCGGCTCCTCTACTACTTCCCGTCTCTCCACTCGGTCTCTCCGATGGAGGAGTTCTCGCAAAGAATCCCAGCCTCGCCCTCTTGACCGAATATCATCGATTTTATGCGGTGAGCTGAAATGTTGTTTATGAATCATGTTTATTCTTTAGAAAGCCGCCCGCCATCCAACTCCTTCACTATTCCTTTCATTAGGCACTGGCTACAACGAGGCGAGACGCACAAGTGGAATTCATTTTGGAGATTTGCCGAAGAATCGCGTTTTCTTCGATCGGCGTAAGTTTTTATCAAGTGGACAGTTATTGGAACTTTACCTTTTTCAATCATTTCAATTTAGATTTTATGCGCACGACGAAGAATCTCTTTGACGTTTTTGTTAGCCAAGTGCGTGTATTTTTTGTAAAATCCGGCGATTTCAATCATTTCATTTTAGTCAACAAGCGGCGACACAGCATGTCTTGATCAAGCAGCCGCTTGGTGTCTTGCTACGAGAAGTCCCTATTTTCGCATCAATCCGCCAAATATTGTAAGTTTGTTATTTTTTTCAAACGATTTGAAAGAAATAATTGTATTCAATTTTAGAATCGTCTTTCATTGACATGTACTGATGCAGAGAAAGTCGCCGATTTTCTGTGGGGAGTCATGGTTTGTTTTTCGCGTTTTCATCAGCACTATAGTCTTTTAGAATCCAAAGATATCCAAATCCAATTCATAATAGCTTTTTACAGTACTCGCTTAGGTTTATCTCCGCACGACGGCTCGCCATGATCTCGATCAACTCGCCAGTTTCATCAAGAGGTTGAAATCTTAGCTTGAGAAGTAGTCTATTTGTTGACTTTCTTAAGCTTTATTGATTAAATGATTTGCATTCTAGAAACAATTTTCTTTTACCGTTTGTTATTATGGCTAAAATAAAAGTTCTTTATTACAATCAGGAAAATCTTAATGGAATTTATTTTTTTTACGGGTCGATCGCAGCTTCTTGGTGTTCCACCTAAAACAATGTGATGAGTAAAGTTCGAAACAAAGCTTTTAAAACGTACCTGACAAGCGTAGCATTTCTCCGTCAGCTCTGTCCAACACAATTTGCAATATGTGGCAGGGCATTGTTCACATTTGTGTGTTTGCCACGCGCGAAGATATGTCAAAAATTTGTGAAATGAAAGAATAACCCGAAAAGCAACCTTACTTGACATAAGAAACACTCAAATGGCCTGTACAAATTGTCGACGATCACGCGGCGTATCAATGAGTTTTTAGCGAAACAGAAGCTAAAATAAAAGATGAATTTATTCACCATATCAAAAGCTTTACCACAAATCATCATCGTCCTCATCTTTCTCTCCTTTTCGTTCTTTTCGCCATTTGACAAAGAAAGCAATGCGTCGTCGAGCCTCTTCACGAGCAGTCAAACGATGTTTCAAACACTAAAAAGTTAAAGAATCTTTATTGATTAAAATCAGTTAGCCTTTCATCTACATGCTCACACTTTTGTAATTTAACTTACAAAAGATTTTGCCAACAAACATACCAAGTTGTAGAGCCAAATCACACGAGCACGGGCTTTTCGGGGAAACATATAGGGCAAGAAGCAGAATAAGATCACTCGTTTTGGCAAAAATGCAAGCAAAACCTAGAAAAGTAAATCTTTCAGCAAAATAACCAAATCAACCTGGGAAAAGAACATGAAAAGCAATGGAAGAAAAATCGTACCCACATAAATGTCATAATCGGGTAGAGATGGCTTTAACTAAAGGAAAAATCACAAGCTATAAGCATCAAAATAATCTGTTTTTAATAAAACAAACCAAGCAATCATCCAAAACGAAAATCGGTTGAACGGTTTCGTTTTTAAGCTGGAAGAGTTTCCGCAGCATTTTCGGGAAGATCCCCACGCCCGTCACCTAAAGTGAGAAAACTATTAGCAATCTACACTTTAACTTTAAACTGACGTTTAAATGAAGTGTCGGTAGTTGTATGCTTTTGACGTCTTTCGGAATCCCTTCAAATATCTAAAAGATAGGTATTAAAGGTGAAAATAGGCACTAACAGCATTGATCGCTCGATAAAGCAAATGATCAACGGCTACAATTATTATCACCTGGTTATTTGAAAGGTTCAAGGAAGTTGGAGTAGGTCTTTCGTATAACTATTCCGGCACAATCGTATAATTTAATCCAAATGCCTTCAAATTGAACTTGTTGGGAATGTTCTCCATAGTCGCATTATCCATCGGCTTAATTGAGTTGTCGTATTGCTTTTTGCCGAGGATAGTTTCCGTTGCCAGATGTTGCGTCACCTAAAATTAGACGTTGTGTGCTACAATTTTCGACGCTACAACTTGATGTTTCGCTTCCAAGAATTTCAGGAGCCCATGAGACCTCGTTTCTGGAATTCGGCCAGCAGGATCAACGAACTTGTCTAAAAGATTTTTTGTTCAAAGCAACAAGCAACAAACTTGAAATGTAGATGATCATGATCGTAGCTTTTGCAAACCTGTAACTATATTGTGATCGATTGTCACAATCGGAGTCAGAGCTGACAGTTATTACCTGGATCCGTAAAACAGCTCAAAGATAGCTGAAAATAGATTCACTTCCTGTTTTTCCAACTGATGGATTCAGATTACAAATGCCAGATCTTCCTAGAGTTGGACTCAAGCCATAGAAAACTCTTTGATACAAAGAATCCCTCAAAAATTATTAAATCCGATCATTTATGTACAAGAGATTGCCAAGAAAACGGCCAAACAGAACAAAAAAATCGGCACTTATAAGAATAAGTTACGTTTTGAGATGATCTCAGTCTTTTTTTGAACCACCATCTTTTTATGGAGGTTGATAGATCCAAAGATCCTCGAAAGGCCAACAATCGAGATCTCGAGAGACGAAAAGTTTAATGTTATTTTGCAGAAAAATAATTGGCCTTTCTAATGAAAAAGTTCAATTGGTTGGTTTTAAACGGAAGTACAAAAAGGAACAAAAAGACTTTCTGGACAGCCTAATCTACCATTTATAGGCCAACTAATTACGCCAATTTTTATAGATTTTGGATCATATTAAAGGAGGCTTGCTAAAAAAATCTTCATTAAAACCTCCAACCATAATCTCGGCGGCTCCTTTGATCCCGCCTCCATCGAGTGCGACGAGAATTTCCTTTGTCGAATTAGAATCCCTCAAACGTTCCTCAATGAGCTCTTCGTTTAGATCACTAAATATGAAAAAAGGAAAAATATGAAAAACAAGGAATGCGCATTCAGTAAGCTTTATTTATGCTTCAAAAATGTTTGTCTTTAGGTTTCCCAAGTGGCCTGTGGTGGTTCAACGCGGAAAAGGAAGAGGCAAGGATTCATTCTTCCCGATTGAAGTCCTACGAGTCGCACCAAATCAGCGTGTCCCATTGACGAAGTTCCTCTGCAATCCAGAGAAGGCCAGAAAACCCGATGATCGTTGGAATCTGATCAAAAATCATCTCGACGAGCTTGATCTTTCAAGGAACTCTCTAATTATGGCTGGGTAGGTTCCATCAAATATTTAGGTCGTCTAAAGTTACCTTTTAAGATTTGGCATCTCTGTTGATTCAAAGCCTTTGCAAGTTACTGGCTTCCGTCGACCTGCTCCGAAAGTTCAATATGGCGCATCGAGATCTGTGCCTACAGATTTAAAGAAAGCTGGCTGGAAACAGGGAAAAGAAACTTACACTGAGGGCGCTGTTGTGGACAAGCTGTACGTTAAGTTACAATCAAAAACCGCTTTTCGCTATGCATTTGCACAAGTGTATCTTTTCATTTTAGTTACATTGCATGGAATGAAAACCCACGAGTTCTACCACAAATTCAAGCATTTGCCGGCGCTTCAAGATCGAAGCGGACCGCAAAGGAATAACAATTCGCTCACTTGAAGTCGAAAATGCGCCAACAAATCTTGACGATGAAGTTCGAACTGGAAATCTATTTACCAAGGTTGTTTTGATTGAAAGTAGAGGCTTAATCATCTATTCTTCAGGCAAAGTATCAACGCAAAATCCTGCAAAATCTACTATCATGATCATCTACATTTCATGTTTGTTGCTTGTTGCTTGTTGCTTTAAACAAAAAATCTTTTAGACAAGTTCGTTGATCCTGCTGGCCGAATTCCAGAAACGAGGTCTCATGGGCTCCTGAAATTCTTGGAAGCGAAACATCAAATTGTAATGTCGTAAAATTGTAGCGCACAACGTCTAATTTTAGGTGACGCAACATCTGGCAACGGAAACTATCCTCGGCAAAAAGCAATACGACAACTCAATTAAGCCGATGGATAATGCGACTATGGAGAACATTCTCAACAAGTTCAATTTGAAGGCATTTTGATTAAATTATACGATTGAGCCGGAATAGTTATACGAAAGACTTACTCCAACTTACTTGAACCTTTCAAATAACCAGGCATGATGTCAAAAGAAGGAGCACAAAGATTTTCATTGCTCGTTTTGTGATCTTGCTGGTTATTTGGAGACATTTTTGAAGTTTTAAAGGAATCTAAATGGAATTAATGAAATCAAACTGAGAAAACTATTTTAAAGATTTGAATGAAACCAACTATTGTTCAATTTTAAAATGTCAACTACATGAAAAGTCATCTAAAAATTTTGAGACTTTGTTTTAAGGCCGCATTTCTTTTTTTCTGCTTTCTTGCATTACTTGGAATCTTTTTCATGTATTCCTTTATTCAAAAGATATCAAGCCGTTAAATGCACAACACAAACATCTCCACATCCAAGTAGACATGGCCGACTCCACGTCTTCACCTCAGTAATCATCCAATCACCAGATGCTCCATAGAGATAAGTGCACGTTTTGTGATTTGCTCCTTTTCGAAAAACTGTCAAAATGTCGACACGTCCTTCCCAGTAACCACCATAAGTCCATAAATGCTCTGCTAGCGATTGAATTCCGTTATGTCGTTCTCGCCGTATCCGAATGTCTTGAAAGTAACGACTAAAATAAAGTATTATCTCAATTCTGACTCTGACCAGTGATCGCCAGCTTAAGTTTTAAGGCAAAGAAATGTAAAGAAGTTTTTCAAACCATTGTAAACAGGCTTGAAAAAAGCCAGGGCCGGTCCCGGCCTGACCCTAACGTACTTTTGATTTTATTTTTAAGTCAAAATTACATTTTTTATTTATAAGTATTCATAACTGTTCGAGAACATTTAATTTAATTTTCAAAAAAGTATTTTGGTTTGCGGCCCGACCTTCATTATAACAAGCTAGCCCATACATGAGGCTGGCCAACAAGTAATGACGGATTGACTGACAGATGGTCTCAAACCAAACCAAAGTTAACGTGTTTGATCTTATTCGAATGCTCTATTCAATAGGAGCACAGTAGCAAAAACCATTTTTTGATTCGTTCGGTTTTCAAATTTTTATAAGCATTTAAGTGAGCTCGGTCAGACCGAAAAAAGTGTCAAAACCACATTTCGTCAATTTTTCGGTTAAAAATATGTTTGTTTCCGCGGCACGATTTTCCCGAGTAGACACCCAAGCTTTGGATGCGTTTTTCCTGTGTGTTTTTGAATATGGACAAAAACTGAATACAGCATCGGATTCACCGTGTCCACTTGGCGTTTGCATTCCAACGGCGTCAATATCTGCTAAGACCATTTTGTGGCATCTCCTTGCTTGGTCTTTTTGCAAAAAAGTTCAAAATTTGGTCACAGGTAGGAGTCGAACCCTCGACTCTCGCCTCAACGAGTCGCCAAACCGGCCAGCTAAACTTAGTGATCCTGAAATGTGATTTTGACACTTTTTGGGTACCAAGCTGAC